ATCCTGGCTGAGATTGATCAATGCTTCCATGGGATGGTTTCTGATAAAACAGGGGAGTGGGGAATGAGAAAAGAAACATACTCAGAACAGCCTGAGGTAGGTGAGGTGTGCCCAATTTATCAGGCCCAGAGACAGGAGTATGAGACTTCAGTCACAACCCCATTCCCCATTCCCTGGCCAGGCAAATTATTTAAAGTGATTTTGTTCCTGACTAGCTGCCTTACCCATTAGTTTCATTTTCCCAGACTCTATGATACAAAGAACAATGCATACACAATCAATAGCTTATGTTATTTTAATGTAAATTCTTGGTAAACAAATTAGAAACTAGCTCTTCCTTTAAAAACCCACCTGAGGGCCAGGCACAGTGGCTCATGCCTGTAATCTCAACACTTTGGGAGGCTGAGGTGGGTGGACTCCCTGAGCTCCGGAGTTCGACACCAGCCTGGGCAACACAGTGAAACTCTGTCTGTACTAAAATACAAAAAATTAGCTGGGCATGGCAGTGTGCACCTATAGTCCCAGCTACTAGGGAGTCTGAAGCAGAAGAACTGCTTGAACCTGGGAGGTGTAGGCTGCAGTGAGCGGAGATCACGCCACTGTACTCCAGCCTGGGTGACAGAGTGAGACTCCTTCTCAATAAACAAAACAAAGAACCCCACTTGAGCCTGCTGCTAATTGGAGTGCTAATTAGATACTACATAAAAACTTGAGCTGGGTGCAGTACTGCACAACTGTAATCTATGAATCAGGGCAACATGATTCTATGCTACTGGGTTGCAGTCTTCAAACTTGTCCCAAAGAAATTACGTGTGTGTGTGTGTGTGTGTGTGTGTGTGTGTGTAACTATATATATAAAACTATTAATAAAATCTTAGTGCTTTGGAAAGACTGAAAAATCAAACACTATGGTCATCAACAATGAAATAAACACATTTTTAGATAACACCAAAACTAAAAGAATTCATTGCTAGCAGATCTGCACTACAGGAAATGCTAAAGGAAGTTTGGCTGAGTGTGGTAACTCATTCCTGTAATCCTAGCCACTGTGGGAGGTTGAGACAGGTGGACTGCTTGAGCCCAGGAATTTAAGACCAACCTGGGCAACACGGTGAAACCGTCTATAAAAAATACAAAAAAATTAGCCAGGCATGGTGGCATGAGCCTGTGGAGCGAACCAGGAGGCTGATGTGGGAGGATTTAGCTTGAGGCTGAACTGCAGTGAGCCATTTTGAGCCGAGGTGCCTATCTCATGAATGAATGAATGAATGAATGAATGGTAAAGGAAGTTATTCAGCTAGATGGTAAGTGATACTACATAAAAACTTGAGCTGGGTGCAGTACTGCACAACTGTAATCCTAGTACTTTGGAGACTAAGGCCAGGAGTGTGAGACCAGCATGTGCAATACAGCAAGAGCTGTCTCTACAGAAAATAAAATAATTAGTTGGGTGTGGTAGCACATGCCTTAGTCCTGGCTACTTGGGAGGCTGAGGTGGGAGGATTCCTTGAGCCCTCGAGATCATACCACTGCACTCTAGCCTTGGTGACACAGCAAGAACTCCGTCTCTAAACCACCCCTTCACACTAAAAAAACCGCCTAAAACACAAACAAAGAACAAAAAGAAAAAAAGAAGGAAAAACCTACTGAAAAAAACCCTTGGGTATTTAAAAATAAATGAAAAGCACTCAAAATTATAAATATGTGGGTAAATATACAAGACTTTATCTTAATTTCTTAAAAAAGAAAAACTGTTGAAAGCAAAAACTCTAATATTATATTAGAGACAATAATATATACAGATGAAATGTAAATGACAACTACAGCATGAAGGACGAGGCGGTAGTAAATGGAACTATATGACTGCAAGGTTCTTACATTTCACCTGGAGTGGTACAATATTAACTCTAAGTAAGCCACGAAAAGTTATATTTCTAGAGAACCCTCTAAAATACAAAATGCTAAATGGCTACTAGGCTCAACTATATGCTGCCTAGAAGACATGCAATTTAAAGACACAGGTAAGTTGAACAAAAGGAATAGAAAAATAAGCCAGGTGCACTGGCTCACACCTGTAATCCCAGCACTTTGGAAAGACAAGGTGAGCGGATCACCTGAGATCATGAGTTTGAGACCAGCCTGACCAACACAGTGAACCCCCATATCTACTAAATATACAGAAAATTAGCCAGGTACGGTGGCACATGCCTATAATCCCAGCTACTAGGGAGGCTGAGGCAGGAGGATGACTTGAACCCTGGAGGCTGATTTCAAGAGCCAAGATTGTGCCACTGCACTCACTCCAGAGTGAGACTTTGTCTCAAAAAAGAAAAAAAAAGAAAGAAAAACATATACCATGCAAAGTACAAAAAAACTAGGTTAACTATTAATATGAGACAAAACAGATTTAAAGATAAAGAATATTATTAAAAATAAAGGGGGAACATTTCATGATCAAAAAAGGGCCAATTCATCATGAAGGCATAATTTTAAGTATGTAGGCCCCTAAAAACAGAGCTCAAAATTCATGAAGCAGAGACTGACATTAAAGGGAAAAACAGATACTAAAAAGTAAAAGACATAAAAGAGCTAAATAACGCTATCAAATATCTTGACCTAATTGACATCTTTACAACACTGTACCCCAAACTGCAGAATACATACTCTTTTTAAATACATATGAAACATTCATATATAAAAAAAAAAAGCAAACTATATACTGGGCCATAAAACAAGTCTCAATATAAAGAATTGAAATTTTATAGAGTGTGTCCTCTGACCACAATGGTACTAAATTAGAAATAAATACCAAGAATATATCCAGAATAAAACAAAAATATTTTAATTTGAATTAATTTTTATTTTTTGTAGAGACAAGGTCTTGCTATGTTGCCCAGGCTGGTTTTGAACTCCTGATCTCAAATGATCCTCCTTCCTTGGCCTACCAAAGTGTTGGGATTATAGGTGTGAGCCACCACATGCAGCCAAAACCAACATATTTGGAAGTTAAACAACATATTTTCAAATAGTCCATGAAAGTACCTAAGAAATAAGAAAATATTTTGAAAAGGATGATGTAAAAAATACAACACACCAAAATTGTGAAAAGTAGATAAAGTAGTATGTGCGTTTTTAATTTTTTTGTTATGTTTTGTTTTTGTTTTGTTTTGAGACAGAGCTTTCCTCTGCCTCCCAGGATGGAGTACAGTGGCGTGATCTCAGCTCACTATAACCTCTCCCTCCTGGGTTCGAGCAATTCTCCTGCCTCAGCCTCCCAAGTAGCTGGGATTACAGGTGTGTGCCACCATGCCTGGCTAGTTTTTTGTATTTTTAGTAGAGATGGGGTTTCACCATGTTGGCCAGGCTGGTCTTGAACTCCTGACCTCAGGTGATCCACCTGCCTGGCTATATTCATACAAGGGTTACTACTCATCAAAAGAAAGGATTAAACTACTGACATACAACAGATAGATCTCAAAACATTAAGTGAAACCTTAGAAGGAGTGTACATTTGTATAATTCCATTGTATGAAGTTCTAGAAAAAGCAAAATTAATCTATAGTGGAAAAATATGCAGTACAAAGGTTGCCTCTTGGTGAGTGGGGGCAAAAACTGTGAAGGGGCATGAAGGAACTTTAAATGAATCTTGAATTTTAGTTAATACTCATACTGGGCTGGGCACAGTGGCTCACGCCTGTAATCCCAGCACTTTCGGAGGCTGAGGTGGGTGGATCACGAGGTCAGGAGTTCGAGACCAGCCTGGCCAACATGGTGAAACCCCGTCTCTACTAAAGATACAAAATATTAGCCCAGTGTGGTGGCACACTCCTGTAATCCAAGTTACTCGGGAGGCTGATGCAGGAGAATCGCTTGAACCCGGGAGGCTCACTGCAGAGGTTGCAGTGAGCCAAGATTGTGCCATTGAACTCCAGTCTGGGGGACAGGGTAAGACTCCATCTCAAAAAAAAAAATTCACACTGATGTATTTGGGAGTCAAGTATACTTATATTTGCAACTTACTTTGACCATGTCAAGAAATAAGATTGATTAGAGAGACGAAGATATGCAGTCATACAGTCAAGCAAATATAGCAAAATGTCAGTTGAGCTGAATATATGGATGTTATTTAAATAATTATTTCAACTGTTCTGAATGTTCAAAAATTTTCATAAGAAAATGTTGGGGGGAAAAACTGTGCTTTCAATTCCTCTGTTTTTTCACATTGCTTGTACAAACTGTAACTGAATGTCTATGAAGTATGCCAAAGGATCAGGGGTGCTATTCTCAGTCATATTATCTTTTTTTTTTGAGACGGAGTTTCACTCTTGTTACCCAGGCTGGAGTGCAATGGCACGATCTCGGCTCACCGCAACCTCCGCCTCCCGGGTTCAGGCAATTCTCCTGCCTCAGTCTCCCAAGTAGCTGGGATTACAGGCACACGCCACCATGCCCAGCTAATTTTTTGTATTTTTAGTAGAGACGGGGTTTCACCATGTTGACCAGGATGGTCTCCATCCCTTGACCTCGTGATCCACCCGCCTCGGCCTCCCAAAGTGCTGGGATTACAGGTTTGAGCCACCGCGCCTGGCCAGTCATATTATCTTAAAAAATAATCTTAATAAAAGAAATAAACTAAAGCATTCCTTCTCATCAAAGATATAACTTAAATTGTACAGTGACTTTAGCTTCACATTGTATATGTAATGACTCTGGCTCGGATGGGGGAAGTTCTGCAGTTTCATGCCCTGTTCCTCAGCTTAGATGCTTATTTTCAAGGTTAGTCATTTAAAGATGGGCACCTGCGCAGACTACGGCCTTAGCACAAGAAAATATATGCACTGAGCTTGGCATCTCAGGGTGAAATGTTAGGCTCATACAATGTCAACAAATCAAAACACATACCAAGAAAAACTTACGTTTTACTGTTAAGGAGGGACAGGCACCTAAGAGATTACAGATCCAATGTTCACACCTTCAAAAACACTTTTGAGTTTCATTACCTTTATCAAGAGATGCTCCAGCCATATGGTAAAAACTCAATGCAGTGTCCACATCATTAATGTTCTTTAGGAAAGTAAAGAAGTTCTCCACCTCCTGAAATGTCAGACCCTGAAAGAGGAAGGACAGCAAGGTAAGGCAGGACCTGTAACAAAAAGCAGCACAATATGGACAGGCAGTGATTCAGAAATAGTCTACAAACCAGAAATTTATGCTCATGTCTAGAACAGAAACTGAATAAATTAATCAAGGAATGTCAAATTCATAAACAGTAGGGGAACGAAACTCTTGACTTTTACCCTGCGAAAAGCAAACTGGCTAATTGCTTCCCTCTTACATGTAAAATCTGACAAAGCTGCTTACAGCGATGGCTGAGTATCTTAATAAAAATATTTCTTTTTTTTTCTTTTGAGACGGTTTCACTTTTGACAACCAGGATGGAGTGCAATGGGCTCACTGCAACCTCCGCCTCCCAGGTTCAAGTGATTCTCCTGCCTCAGACTCCCGAGTAGCTGGGATTACAGGTGTGCACTACCAGGGCCGGCTAATTTTTGTATTTTTAGTAGAAACAGGGTTTCACCATATTGGCCAGGCTGGTCTTGAACTTCTGACCTCAGGTGATCTACCCGTCTCAGCCTCCCAAAGTGCTGGGATTACAGCTGTGAACCACCTCCCCTGGCCTAATTAAAATATTTCTAACTGTGCGCTCCAGTTAGACACACTATCTATTATGACACTTCCTAATTGGGCTATTGCTACTTGATCTGTTATACATCTTAAGAGGTAAAATCAGAGTCAGGCCTTCCAGTTTAATAGTCTGCTCACAGGCCAGCTAAGCTTTCTGAGGCTTACGCTAATTAAACAATCACCAAAGTCGGTGATATCCTGGGGAAGGGTGTCAGTATTTAGCAAAATCCAGGTTATTTAAGGAAGCTGTTCATTATCTCAATTTATTTTTTTTCTTGTTTTTTCTCTTTTTTTCGACCTTCAAAGCTACTGAAAATCAACATATTATCTCAATTTAAAAGCTACTCACAAAGTAATTTGCCACCTAACTTTAATCGGATGAAATTCTGTGAATGAAGAAATTTTTTGAAAAAGCTGTTCAAAGATTTGCTGATCTCTGATTCTACTTTCTATGACGGATCAAGAAAAAGTAGTTATAGAAATAGGGGCTACTGAGAATTCCTTTATAGGGAAGAAGATTTATCCCATTTGCCTCTTCCCTGCTTCCCACACATCATGCTGTGATGGAAATGAATGCAGTTTCTAAGGAGGGAAAACATTGGGCAATGTCCTAGATGTCCCAGACACTGATGTTAATGCCTTTTAAGGAAGCATCAGGTCCTTAATGGGCTGCAGATGTAGACTAGCTTCCACTTAGTGCTGCTCCTCTTACAATTTTCATTTCCTCAAACTACAGAGCCCAGGAACTCACATCAGGAACTCAGTAATAAGGAAATCTAAATACAATCTCCAGTTCTTTCCTGGTATTCTCCAAACTGGGTCAACTGTATCTTTCTTACCTCATCAAACTGAAAACTAAAAGACTGTATAAGGCTGGGTGCAGTGACTCATGCCTGTAATCCCACCACTTTGGGAGGCTGAGGCAGGAGGATCACTTGAATTCAGTCATCAGCCTGGGCAACCTGGTAAACCTCGTCTCTGAAAAAATACACCTTTTCCTCCTCAGCTGTCTAAGGATAGGCCACCATCATGAACGACACAGTAACTATCCGCACTAGAAAGTTCATGACCAACCAACTACTTCAGAGGAAACAAATGGTCATTGATGTCCTTCACCCCGGGAAGGCAACAGTGCCTAAGACAGAAATTCGGGAAAAACTAGCCAAAATGTACAAGACCACACCGGATGTCGTCTTTGTATTTGGATTCAGAATTCATTTTGGTGGTGGCAAGACAACTAGCTTTGGCATGATTTATAATTCCCTGGATTATGCAAAGAAAAATGAACCCAAACATAGACTTGCAAGACATGGCCTGTATAAGAAGAAGAAGACCTCAAGAAAGCAACAAAAGGAATGCAAGAACAGAATGAAGAAAGTCGGGGGACTGCAAAGGCCAATGTTGGTGCTGGCAAAAAGTGAGCTGGAGATCAGATCACAGCCGAAGGAGTAAAGGTGCCGCAATGATGTTATCTATGGCCGTTGTGGATTTTTCACAAGAAGCTTATTAATAAACTAAAAACTTTAAAAACAACAACAACAACAAAAAACAAACAAAAAAAGTTAGCTGAGTGCGGTGGCATGTGCCTGTAGTCCCAGCTATTGGGAGGCTGAGGTGGGAAGATCGTTTGAGTCTGGGAGGCAGAGGTTGCAGGGAGCTGAGATTCTGCCACAGCACTCCAGCCTGGGTGACAGAGCTAGATGCTATCTCAAAAACAAAACACAGCAAAAAAGACTTTATAATTATGTCACATGATCTTTTATAATTTTTTTCCTTAGAATCATAGAACTTAAAAAACTTTATTGTGGAATACAATGACTATGTAGAAAGGTGCATAAATGTAAAACTCATCATCAAACTGTTGCAAAGCGAATACCCATAGAACCTTCATTTGGGTCAAGGAACAACTGTCATCAGCATTCCAGAAGCTTCGTCCCTCCCCACAACATGTCCCTTCCTAATCATAAGCTCCAGCTCCTGGGCAACCCCCACTGACAAAAACCACTACTCTGACTTTTAGGGAATTCATTTTCTTGCTTTTTAAAAAAATAGCATGTTTATATGTAAACAGCATATTTACAAAAACAGTTGTTTCATTTTATCTGTTGTGGAACAGTATAAACGGAATCATGCAGTAGACATTCTGTTATCTATGGCTTCTCTCTTTAAGATTTGTTCATGTTTTTGTGTGTTTCTGTAGTCCATTACTTTTATTGCTATAAAGTATTTCAGTGTGTGAATACCATAATTTGTTTATTCTCTTTGGGCTACTTTCGGCAATTATGAACAGTGGTGTGTCTGTACTTAGCATTTATTCAAACATTTATAGAGTACCTACTATGTACTAAGTGTCATAATTTTTGGTAGTGGACTGGAAGGCCTATATTATATGCTCTTCCCCTAATTTGAGGTCACTCTATTGGCTTTGCCTTAGAGTATCCAGAGTTAGGTTTCATCATGGATGCCACAGTATGCTATTTAATGTAGGCACTGGCTAGAATCAGCATTTAGAGGAGAATCCCAAAGGATTAGAAGTACAGGTTGTACAATATCATTGCTTATGGATGGATACTAATCTTCCTTTTCTCTCCATCAAAAGACACATAAAGGTGGACGCAATCCAATATTCTATCGACGGATGAGTGGATAAACAAAATACAGCATATACACACAATGGAATCTTGTTTAGCCTTTAAAAGGAAGATTCAGACACAATCTGCAGCATGATGGGCCTTGAAGACATTATGCCAAGTGAAATAAACTAGCCACAAAAGGGCAAAAGATAATGCTATATGACTGAACTTACATGAGGTACTGAGAGTAGTCAAAAATAGTGTTGTCAGGAGCTGGGGAGAAGGAGAATGAGGAGCTATTGTTTAAGGGTAAGGATTTCCGGTTTGGGAAGATGAACGGGTTCTGGAAATGGATGGTGTTGATGGTGGCACAACAATGTAAAGTACTTAATGTCACTGAACTGTACACTTAAAAATGGTTAAAATGGTAAATTTGTTATGTATATTTTACCACACACAACACACATATACACACAACATGCTAAAACTCTTTTACTTTTCTTATTAAGGTATAAAATCCTGTAGGGGTTGGAGAGTTAGGGGGACTAAGTTATTGAAAGGGTATTTGAGGCTAAAAGGCTAACATAAAATTCCTAAAATGGTTAGAGCATGGTAGAGGAAATGTGTCCCACTGTGATGACACACAACTTCTAATGTTTATTAGTTTCTAACAAACACTGTGAAATATCAGATATTACAGCTCAAGACCAGAGTGCTGAGAATTATCTGAGGACAGAGAGAGAACAATATAAACTGAATGGCTATGCATTTGATGATTTAGAAAAACAGTGGGCTGCAAATCACATTATATAACTATTAAATCCAAATATACAACACTATACTTTTATCACAAAGATATAATAAAAAATTTATTGAGCACTTACTAACCACTTAGCATTATGCCATGAACAGTGAGGGAAATAAAACTGCACTGGACACAGGCCTTAATTTTTATAGAGCTTAAATTTAGATAGGTCTCCTTAAAGAAAAGATGATGCCAGTCACAAAATTCTTATTTTTTTGGTAATTACTATAGTAAAAATCCAGAGGGCTATTAGAAAAAAGCTACAGTAAGACTATAACATAAGCTTTGTGGCTGTTAAAATGGAAAGTGAAAGGGTATGTTTATTGCAAATTAAGTTGCTTGGACAAGAAGGCTACAGCATATGCAGTGATCTATGGGCAGATGACTGAACTGCAGACATAACTGTGAAAAGGAACTGTCTCTTAGGCTTTACAATAAAGAGATATTCTTGACATACTGTGGGGGGGAAATAGAGAAGTTACTCTGTGACTAATTGTTCAACAAACTGGTTATCTCTCTACCTTTGGAAAGATGGACTTATGTAAAACTGGGCTTTAGGTGACTCTAAAAAGAAGATAAATAATAGTTTGTAGACAATAGAGATACTTCTTTAGGTTGTTTAAAAATGAATTTAACATTAGGAAGTTGTTAAGCAAGTAAATAGAATTGTCTTTCAAAACTAAAAGCAGGGCCAGGCACGGTGGCTCACACCTATAATCCCAGCACTTTGGAAGACTGAGACGGGCGGATCATCTGAGGTCAGGAGTTTGAGACCAGCCTGGCCAACTGGGTGAAATCCTGTCTTTACTAAAAATACAAAGTTAGCCAGATATGGTGGTGAACACCTGTAATCCCAGCTACTTGGGAGGCTGAGACAGGAGAATGGCTGAACTCAGGAGGTGAAGGTTGCAGTGAGCCAAAATCGCGCCATTGCACTCCAGCTGAGCAAAACTCTGTCTCAAAAAGCAGTGGATAAAACTTTTAGAAGAAAATACAGGAGAGGCTGAGTATGGTGGCTCACGCCTGTAATCCCAGCCCTTTGGGAG